GTTCACACTGGGTTCACCTCCTTACCTATTTTTATGCTGCGTGGCAAACAGAGATATTTGTGTGTACTTGCATAATTGGGACTGTCTGGGAAAAGGAATTTGGCTCACTTGGAGTTCCTTCCTAAAGATCTAAAACTGTTGGTTTACTTGAGCATAATATTCTAATTTCCTTTAAAAATGCACATCAAAAAGAATAATTGAAACATGAATTCCATCTCAGTGCTTGTAAAAATGCATGCAAGGCACCTCAGGATTTGATTATATTTGCACCAGCACAAGCTGCCCTCAGAGAACAAAGCTCAATTGATTTGAGGGAGTCTGATTTGCCTGGATGAAAATGAATTTTTAATAGATTTGGTTGTCAGAGGGATTATGCAGGAATATGAAGTGGCAGGGTGTTCACACAGTGGACTGCTGTGGAGGTGTGTGCTGGTGGCCAGCAGGCAGGAATGGTGGTGAGTGTTTTCCACAGACAGCAAGAGCAGGATCTCAGGGGAGCTGAGGGGACCAGTTGCCAGGAGACATCACAACACTGAGTCCTCCTTGCAACAGACCTCAGACTCCCTCTTACCTCTGCACACTAGCCTGGTTTGCCACCACTCTTCAAATTATTTTCTTTCATCTCCCAATAACCCAAACACTACTGAAAATTGCCAGCTTTGAGAAATTTCATTTATTTGATATGAAGTCCATTTTCTGGTTCTTTAATGTGAGCGTTTCATTTATGACAGAAAACTAGCAGAGGCCTTGAGCATCAGGAAGGATCCAGCTCCAGGGCTGGTACCAATCAGCCCAGCCACAGTCCCTGTAACAAGGATTGAAACACAGCATGTGCTGTATGCCAAGGCAGAGATGCCCTCCTGCTTCATGGGAGAGCAAAGGCCATTTACTTTCATAAATGAGCAAACACTCAGCTTCCTGAAGCTCAGGTCTCCAGGAATCATTACATTGTTTAAATACGAAGCACAACAGGAGTAACAAACAGATACATAGTTATAGATCTCTAACAAATATTGTTTGTGTCTTCAGAGTCACTGAGTGGTTTTCTCTCTCCTCTTCAGAAACATAAGGCCTTAAGAATTATGATTCCATAATTCCAGAAGCAGGGGCTTCAAGGCACACCATCAGATGTGGCAAAATTCAGAAAAATCCATGAGAGCTGTCAGATGGTGGACACTCATTCTGGCTGAGGCACAGCCTCCTGTTCCACTCCACACATGAGATATTCAGTCAGAAGAGCTCCTCATGTCCTTCGGTGTCTGTCTTCTGCCATCAGCCCCGAGGAGGAGGTGATCCAACATCTCCCTGTCTCCAGTCAGGGAGATGCCTTTGTGTCAATCCAGCTGCTAAATAACAAGCCCACAAAGACACAATTCAAAGGATGTAAAAATGTGATGAAATATTTCAAACTGACATTTGCCTGACAAATGCTACTCTGTTATTTTCCCAGGCCAAGCATCTCTGAATCACAGTAATATGAAGGAATTATTCCCCAAAAGATTCTCCATCTGATTCTCAAATCTCCCCACAGTAACAAAAACATCAACCCTCAAAGGTACAGCACTACATCTCAATGAGAGAGGAAAAGGAAGCAAATATTTTTTCAGTTCAAATTTATATAAAGCAAATCGGAAACAGAAGTAAGACCACCTTTACTCTTTCTGCACATTTATAAACATAGAAAAAACATAAATTTAGTGTGGAGAAGTCTAATTGCTCTCCTGTGCTTCATGTCATCCGCTGCAGCATTATATCACAAGCCATATGGAGAATCAATCTGTGCACAAAATACAAGGCAAAGGAAAGTCAATAACTAGCCAGTCATTGGCTTTTTTTCCTTCAAATAAAATCAAAGTTTGTAGACTCATCCAGGTTTCCTGCCTTCCTGTTGGTGTATATTTTTTAATGATTCATTATTTGGTACACCGTGGCCCACACATTTCAAGGGTCATCAGAGTTTTATCTCCACAATTGGGGTTCAGCCTTTAGACTTCAAGAGCAAACTAAAGGCAGGATGTAGTTTTCAGAAACAAAGATGTGAGCTGACTAGTTTATTTTCATTTGCATCTTACCCCTGAATAATAAAATTATAGAGCTTTGTGGGCAAATTGTGGCAAGCTCAACTGAATACAAAGGGACAGCACTCAAAACTGAGCCATCCAGAAACATTTCAAACACCAGCTAAGGAGAAGAGAGGAGGGATATGTCATTCCTTTCCCAACAAAAACCAGCTTGCACTCATCACATCTTCACTTTCTTGCCCAGATGTTGTCACAGGAAGAAAGTATCAGAATATAAGCACAGATGGGAGCAAGCTCTCACAAGAACCTATTTCCCATTTCAGCCCTGTCCTAGCCCTCCCTGGGGTCCAGGACCACCTGATGTCAGATTGAGCCCCTAGTTCTGGACTGTCCCTGCTAATATCACACACATACAGACTGGAGATAGACAACTGGCACTGCAAAGAGAGACTGCCCAGCCCAAGCAGGGCTAGGTTCACACAAGGTTTGCCCAAAGCTCCAGGCACTCAGCTGCCTGAGCCACAGGGCTCAGAGAACCTGCCTGCAGCATGACAACAAAAGGATGTGCAAACCCAGTGTTTAAAACAGACTAAATCCGGTGTACCACAGCTCTGCCACCTCCCTTGTGCTGGTAGTGCTGCTGTGCAGCCCAGTGAGCTGATCTAACTGCAAACAAGCCACTGGCAGGTCAGTTCTGTGGCCACTGTGTGGTTTATCACAGAGGCAGCAATGAAACAAGGCACAGCACCAAGCCTGGATTAAATGACCTCTACCTGCCTTAAAACTGCAAGGCTCAGCTCCAAGTACCTCATTTTGAGAGTGATCTGTAGTTCTCACAGACCTCCGCATAAGCACTCATGGGCAAAATTCTACTTATGCTCTACACAACTTCTAATTAAAACAGCAGGTACAAATTAGCACGAAATTGAGTCCCTTAATGGATGGTTTTCTCTTTTCTCTTCCATTTAAAATCACCCTAACAAGCCTGATTCAATGTGCAAGTGGGATGTATCCTCCAGTGGAAACTCCAACACAAATTTAAGTCACTGCAATTTTACATGTGAATATTTTTTCTTCTAGCCCCTATACAGCATGAAGCTGGAAGTGCTAGCTGCAGAGGACACTGACTTTCAGTGACACATGAAAAAAACAACCAAAACCACTAACATTTAATTATCCTGTCCTTTACCAGGTGCTGAACCTCACCTCCAACACCTGAAAAATTTAGCATTTTCCTTTTCATCCCAAATCTATCTTCTTCTCCCACAGCTGTCAGGGCCCTAACTGCACTAATTGTCTGGCCAGTCTCAGCTGGGGCTTCCACTCACACTCTTGGACAGGGACTTTATTTAACCTTGGGGTTTAAATAGAACCATAGAATGGTTTGGTTTGCAGGGACCTTAAGTTCACCCAGTTTTAACTCTCTGCCATGGTTAGGGACACTTTCCACTATCCCAGGTTGCTCCAAGCCCCATCCAACCTGGCCTTGGACATTTCCAGGGATCCAGGGGCAGACACAGCTTCTCTGGGCACCTGTGCCAGGGCCTCACCTCTCTCACAGGAAAGAATTAATTCTCAATATCCAATCTAAATCTGCCCCTTTTCAGTTTAAAGCCATTCCCCTGTGTCCTGTCACTCCAGGCCCCTGTCCAAAGTCCCTCCAGCTCTCTCTTGGAGCCCCTTTAAGCACCGGAAGGGATTCCAAGGTCTCCCTGGAGCCTTCTCTTCTCCAGGCTGAACACTGAGCTCTCCCAGTCTGTCTTCCCAGCAGAGGTATTCCAGCCCCTGAGCCTCTTTGTGGCCCTCCTCTGAACCTACCTAACCACGTCCTGCTCATGCTGCGATGACAGAGGTGACTTGTGGGTGTCTTTGCTGCTAATTCTATTCCTGAACTGCTGTTTGGGTTTCCTGGGCTGACATTGTGTCCATGTCCTTGGACATGTCACTGGACCATGCCCTGTTGGTGATGTCTTTACCTGGCTGGTGTTGTGGCCACCCTCAGTTCCCAGATTCCTTTTCCTGAGGTACAACAGCAAGAGCTGGATGAGGCTGGGCAGAGCCACTAAGTCCCTGTGCACTCAGGACACCATTAATGTTTTGTTCTACTGCATTTTTCCCCCAGACAGTGTCTGCTGTCAGCACTACTTGCTTTAATACAAAAATAAATACATTTCAACGTGGCTCATTATGCTAAATGAAAACAACAGGGGGCTAATGAGCATTGTGAACAAGGCATTAACATGGCAATCAGAGGTTTCCTCAAGACAGCCGCAACCTTCTTCAAACACCATGTAGACACAACTGTGTATACAGTTGTGACCTCATCTGTTGAAGTTAATTCAGGGAATAAATAGATTTAGATGTCTAACTTTGGTTTATCTTTGTAGCAAATTGTGCATTGTGTTACACTTACTATTAAGAAATAAAACTGCCAGCTCTGTTTGTGCAACTGTTCAGGGGTCATTCTTACTCTTCAGTGAACACATTTAACACATTTAATATTCATAACTGTGTTAACACATTTAATATTCATGATTTTGGGGTAGAAGTTAGTGTTCCTCCCCCAATAAGTGTTGTGGGAGGCTTGGGCCAATATCAGTCTGTAAAGGGAAGGTGGCTGTGGCCCTACTCTGGCAATGGCACTTCTGAACACACCCAGACAGGCTGGCCGCGAGTTATGTGGGTCCCCAACGCTGAAATAACATGTGCAGGCCAAAACTTTCAGAATCCCTTTTCCAAATTAAATTTTCCCTCTTCTCCTTTAAAGCCTAAAGACCTGAAACAGCCCCTAAACGCTGCCGAACAGCGGCCTCGTTAGAGCGGCCACCATCCCGGCCGGTGTGGCACCGTGGGGGAGAACTCCACACCGCAGCGGCACCAACCTCGCCGAAACGACCGAACGGGGCAAAACCCGGGAAGCGAAGCCACGATAAGGGACAGGGAGGGCCGGGCCCGTGAGGGAAGGGGGCGTTCCCGCCCGCCCCGTCCCTCCCCTCAGCCCGGCCGCCATTTCGGGAGCTGTGCGCGGGCGCGCGGCGCCCCCTGGCGGCCCCGCGGCCGGCCCGTCCCGTCCCGTCCGGCGGCCATGAAGTCCGTGTTCGTCACCGTGGGCACCACCAGCTTCGACGAGCTGATCTCCACCGCCCGCTCCCCGCCCGCGCTGCAGGTCAGCCGGCCGGCACACCGACACCGGCCCCGGGCCAGGCCTGCCCTCCCGGGGCTGGCGCCTGCGCGCCACGAGCTGCCCCGCCCTCCCTGCCGCGTCCCGGCTGCCGTGCCGGGGTGCCTGAGGGCGCCGGGGCGTTTCGGGGGTTCCCGCGGGAGAAGCGTGAAGTGTTGGTGGAGGAAAGGGAGGGACGGGGAGGGGGCAGCGGTATCGCGGCCGGGGTAGTAGGGAGCTGGGCACACCCCTCACACACCCTCTCTATCCCCGCCTCATCCCCTTCATTCCACCCCCATCATCCCTCCCCGTCATCCCTTTCCTCTCCAGCTCTCTATGCATCCCCCCACCCTGCATCTCCCCAACATCCCCCCTCCCCACCATCTTCCCCACCGCGTTATCCCCCCGCTGTCCCCCGCATTCACCCGTCCCGTGCCCCGCAGGCGCTGCAGAGCCGCGGGTACCAGAAGCTGGTGCTGCACCGGGGCCGGGGCTCGCTGCCGCAGCCGCAGCCCAGCAGCAGCTCGGCCGTGGCGGTGGAAGCGTTCCGCTTCAAGGACTCGCTGGCTGAGGAGCTGCAGAGCGCAGACCTGGTCATCAGCCACGCAGGTACAGCCCGGCTGCTTCCTGAGGCTGCGGGAGCTCGGTGGGATGGAGTCTCTGCGGGCAGGGGTGGGCTGGCTGGGAGTGCTGAGGTGCACAGCTAAAGCTGGGTTGTTCAAGAGGATCCCCTGTTTCAGCAGCAAGTAGGGGGATATTTCATCTCTCACCATGTTTTTTGTTTCTCTCGTAGGTGCTGGTAGCTGCCTGGAGACTCTAGAGAAAGGAAAACCACTAATAGTAGTAATAAATGACAAGCTGATGGACAACCATCAGCTTGAGCTGGCCAAACAGCTCCACAGAGATGGCTATGTCCTCTACTGTAACTGCAGGTATGGAGCTGCTGCAGCTGTTCCTGCTGGGCAAGAGCATTCAGTCCATGTGACTGCAGAACTGAGACTGTAACGAGGACTGTACATCCTTCTCTGTAATCTCCATCTGGATATTACATTTTCCAGAGTGAATAGAATAACACTAGGTAGTAATTGACCACACTTACCAAGCCTTTTGATCACAACCTCTTCTAATTGTTTTTTTCCATTTGAGGGTACATGTATTTAGATTTAAAAAAGAAAAACACTTGGATTCAGGGGATTAATAAAGCAGATATTATCTGGTTAGTAATTTTAGGTACCCCTGTTCTTTCAAATACTCATTCAGGCTGCCCTTTTAACCAAACTTCCTGAATCCATCATACACTCTGACAAGGAGTGGTACAGACCTACTGCCTGTCACTTCAGGAGAAAAACCCAAACCAAACAAAAACACAAGAAAAAGAACCCCATCCCAGAAGCAAACAACACATGAAAAAAATCTCACTTTTTTAGAGTTCATCCTGACTCCTGTTGGGTTCATTTCTTCTCCTGGTTTTGACTGTATCTTACTATTTGCTCTTTACTTGTGATTGACTCCAGTCTAAAAATAACAGATTACTTTTAAACTGAAGGCAGAAAAAATGTAACTCCCATTACTTAGTCTGCGTCTTGTTCCTTTGCCTTGCAAGCAGAGTTTCATATGTTTCAAAAGAGCTTTCTGAACAGACCAGGCTGGCATTTAAATTGAGCAAGTTTCTTAAACTCATTATCTTGGTGCTTCTGTCAGCTTTGGAATTTTTATTTCTTTGTGTTGGGCAGTGCCAAGCATTTCAGCTTTATTTGCAGCCTGATAATAGCAAGTAACAGATTGATGTAGCTGTTCTTTCTGGCTCTGATCAGGGGAGAACTCTGCCATGTGTTCAAATAGGATGGATTTCCTCCTATGGTTTATGGAGCAAAGCCTCAGATCTTGTTCAGTCTCCCAGCACTGCAGCCACAGAAGATTAAAAAGTGTAAAAGTTGAGTTTGTCTCTGAAAGCTGGTGGAAGTTGTTCTCAGCAATGCTGCCTACAAGCCAGAGCTGTCTGGGGCCTGCTGCTCTGGGAATTCTCTCCCTTTCCATACATATCCTTATTTAATATTTCCATGCTAAAGAATTACATATGGATGCATAGAAAGAAAACTGTATAAAAAAGAGCCATCCCATAGGAATTTTTCTTCTTTAATTTTTGCTTTTGGTGTGTTTTTACAGCACTCTTGTGGAGACACTGCAGTCAATGGACTTGTCAGCTTTGAAACCTTTTCCTCCTGGACAGCCAGAAAAGTTTGCTTCATTCTTGGATACAGTTTTTGGGTTACAATAAACAAAACAGAAATAAAAAGGTTGGAATAAAATGTCTCATCTGCTCCACTTAAGATCTGCAACTGGGCCAAACACTCAAAGAAAATACCATTTACTATTAACTGATATTAAATGGCTTCCAGTTTAGTGTCAAACTCATTCAGCTTTATGCATAAAAGAGTACAATGCCAATAAGGAGGGAGTATGTACTGTCTAGTGGCATGGACAGACATATTTCTATCATAAAAGCTGCACTGGGATGGTCATTCCAGTGGTGAGGACAAGCTTTAAACTACTTTACAAGCGTGGCATATGCATTGTCGTCTCTTGACCTTTTTTGCCAAGTACAGGTGGAAATAAATTGTCTTTTTTGATGTTCTTGTGATGTTCTGCAGATGACTTCAGCTCTTGGTTCATGTGTTTACAGAAGCACTGAAGAGAGAGCTTAAAACTGAGATATTTAAGCCTCAAAAGGGATAAAGGCATGTGGTGAACCCGGGTGAAAAAAAGTCACAAGCTGCAAACCTGCTGCCAAACTGCTGCCCTTTGTTTGGGTGATTTACCCACAAAACACAGGACAGGAATGGGCTTGGCAATACAATCATTCCTTTTGCATGGTGTTACCCCATCATAACCCATCCGTTTGGACCTCTGCACACCCAGTGTTTCCTATTTAGATTATATGTAAGGAAGAAATTTTCCCCTGTGAGGGAGGCAGGCCCTGGCACAGGTTCCCAGAGCAGCTGTGGCTGCTCCTGGATCCCTGGAAGTGCCCAAGGCCAGCTGGACACTGGGGCTTGAAGCAACCTGGAATATTAGAAGATGTCCCTGCCCATGGCGGGGGGGTTGAAACTGGATGGACTTCAGGGTGCCTGCAAACCCAAGCCATTCTAGGATTCTTTGATGCTGATCACAGCTTCCCATTTAGAGTATTGAATTTGACAATGATGTGTTACATCAATTTCTTCAAGTAAATATTTTGAAAACCAAAGCGGGCTTAAACTTTAAAATGTTCAAGGGCTTCTAATGCTCTAGAACTTTAGAAGTGCATAACTGGTGCTAACTGCCCTTCCTACAAGGACAGTATTCTTGGGGGGGGGGGGGGGGGTAGGCGGTGTTGCTTTTGTTTTTTAAAACGAGAAAATAAAACTCCTGAATTGGCCCATCTGATGTCGAAGTACAATTTTCACGAGGAAGTTAAATGTACACAGAAGCATTCAAATCAAGCACAAAGGGCTACAGGTGGAATAAATCAGGCCGCACAGCTGTGCAAGGCTCAGTTTTGCCAATCCCCCAAAGTTTGCCCCAAATACTTGATTAGGAGCCACTAACATTTTTCATTCCCTTAACAATTTCTATGGAGTTATTTCCAACCCACTGCTAGCCCGGGAGCACAGAGGGAATCCTGGATAACCACCGGAATGATGTTCGCGCTGGTTCTCCGCAGCCGAGCGATGAAGTTGAAGGAGCGAGCTTAGCCAAGGCAGGTGCGGGACGAGCCGCTTCCCGCGGCTGGGGATGCGCACCCACTCCGGGAGCCGGGCACTCTAAAAACTGTCCTAAAACAACCTAAAATGGCCCCGGCGGGGGCAGCTCCAGCGGGATCCGAGGGGCCGGGGCCGGGGCCGGCTGTCCCGTCCCGCAGGTGGGCGCGGTGCCTCATTAGCGGCGCCTCATTAGCCGCGGCCGCGCGCCCGGCGCCTCGCGCCTCGCCCGCGTCTCCGCGCCTGCCTCAGCCGCCCCGGCCGGGAAGATGCACAAAGGCTCCAAAAAGTACTTCGGGCAGAAGTCCTTCAGCGAGGTGGCCATGGACGAGTACCTGGGCAGCCTAGGGCTGTACCGCAAGATGACGGCCAAGGACGCCTCCTGCCTCTTCCGAGCCGTCTCGGAGCAGGTGCGCAGCCGGCCGGGCTGGGGGCAGCCGGGGCGCCTCAGGCCCGGGGCGGGCCGGGGGTGCCCCCAGAGAGCTCCTGGAGACCCGGGCGGGTCACCAGAGCGAGGTGGCGGTAGCGGGGTTGGGTGGGAATGGCTGGGAATGTGTGTGGGGATGGTTGCGACCGGCTCCGGCGCTTGGGCTCCCCTCAGGTGTCCCCAGGTGTCCCCAGCCTCTGCACCGCCTCCTGTTGTGGTGGCGTTAGACTGGAGAGCTCATGCCTAACGCGAGGCGCAAGTCAAACTCTTGACGTTTTCTCCTTTGTTACCGTTATTTTTCCAGCTGTTTTCATCTCAAATTCATCACGCAGAAGTTAGGAAAGCTTGTGTCTCGTTTATGAGGCAGCACCAGTCGAGGTTTGAATCCGTAAGTGCCGTGCGTTCTGTGTCTAAGCTGGGTGCGTGCACTTGGGAGGTGCTGTGGGAGGGGGTCCGTGGTTTAGCACCGAGAGCAGAATGGTTTGTCACGCTTGCTGCTTGAAAGACAGAAGTGGCAGGGTGACTGCTTCCTTGTGCTGAGTTGCAGTTGCACAAGTTCTGACTTTGGTTCTGAGGTTCTGGAAACAAGTTACTAAAACCTAAGTAGTGAGTGGGGCAAGTTATTTGTGTAGTATATTCTCTGTGGGGTGACCATTGCAGAATTTAGTAGGTGGGAAATGTGTAGGTTCTTTGGAGCAAGAAATTAATAACCAAAGATGCTGGGAAATTCTGGAATAATTATGTAAAGTTGTGGAGTTTTGAGGTGTGGTTTTTGGCTGGTTTTGTCTGTGGCAGTTTGTGTGTGTGGTGTGGTATTGTAGGGTTTTGATGTGTTTTGGGATTTTTCTTTGTTTTCCCTGTAATCACATTTAATTGCTTCATCTTATCTTGGAGGGACTTGAATATTACTTGGACTCATATCCTTAATATTTTTTCAGGATTTCTTGATATTTATTGATACCCCAAATAATTATTATGTTCTGCATGCTTTGCCCCCTCCAAATCAACAGCTGGTAGCTGTTAAGTAGTCTTTAGATTTAATTTTTGCTTTCTAACTGCCAAAGTTTTTACATCTGTTTTCTTCTTTGTTTTGTCAAAAGTATGTGGAAGGTTCGTTTGAGAAATACCTAGAACGACTAGGAGATCCAAAGGTAAGCCTGATCTAAGACTTATTAAGAGATTTAAATTTGAAGAGACTAGAACAGTAAGGGGTTTAGGTAGTTATTTAAAAATGTGGTTATTTGAGTTTGTGGGTTTTTTTAGATAGACCCAAATCTTGGGGAATTAATTGCATAAGTAACACTTGGGGCTTTTACTGATAAATGTAAATAAAGTGTACATGTATAAACAATACCAGTTTCAGTAGGGAATTTGCATGGGTGCAAAGGAGCAATTTCTGCAGGCTGGACAGTAAAAAACTTATTCATAACTGTAGCTCTTCAAGAAGAAAAAAGTAAACTATATGGAGCATGCCTTAAATGAAATGTCTGTCAGGATTTACAATCCTCTCCTTCTTCCTTTAGTGTTCAGAGTTCTATTTCTTTATTCTTTGACCAGTAACCTTGGTGAATGCAGCAGTTTCTGAAACAAATGTGGATTTAAAAAAAAAGTATCTAAAGTGATATGTTGGAGCAACTCTACAGCAACTCAGTCTTACAAATTTTGGTAATTGTGGCCACCCCTGTAGCAGACTCCTTTTACCTCACTCTCCCCCAAATCCTTATATCTCAACTTTCAGTGCATTATTGCTTTAACAGACTGATGATTTTGAACAGGTATTTTAATAGTACAGGATTTTAGTACCACAGAAGTGTAGTGTATAGTTGTTGATGTTTAGATTCTTCTGCTATCTCACATAATCTCCTAATATTGCATAGGAAAGTGCTGGCCAGCTGGAAATAAGTGCTTTATCAGTGATGTACAAGTAAGTACCTCCTTCTTAAGGTTTACTTTGTTTTGCCCTTGGTGTGAGGGTTCTGGCCCCAGAACTTTCTGTGTGTTTGCCACTGAGGTGAATGTGTGAAACAGGATGAGAAATGTTTCTCTAAAACTTAATTAACTGGCATGTAAATGGTGCCATCACAGCCCCTATTCTAGTGGGGATTACGGGCAGGGTCAGTTTCCAGAGATGCTTGCTTGTTGTCTTTTTGCTGATATTAAACTTGAATGTCAAGTGTTTGCTTCTAGTGGCTGAAGACTGGAAAATGGGGAAAACCAAGGAGCTCTGTGCAGTGGAAACACTGTGTGGTAGTTACAAGCATGACTAAAACTCATGTAGGTGTTCTTGAAAGCTCCAGGAGTGAGGAGTACCTGCCCTGCCTGGTGTGTAAACACTGCTATTTATTTCAGAGGTAACACAGAACTGTGCAGGTGCTGCTGTCTTGCTGAATTAAGCTAATCAAATGCTGCTATCTGTAAAAAGCAGTCTGGCTCTCTAGTGGTGGGAAATAGAAGCCTCCTTTTGCAGGCTCACTGTCCCAGTACTAAAAGAATGACTGAAGCTTGGCAGGAATTACTAGCTCCCAGCACTGAGGTTCTAGTCCTTTTGCAGGGTGCCTAAATCACTTAGAGTGAATAGTCTCAGTGTCTGAGCACCCTTCTGTAAGTATAAGTACTTGACTTAATCTGTGAGTAAACACAGATTGTGGTCTTTCACAGCTAATTTTGGTTTTTCCCTCAAGATAGGTTTGCTCATGTGGCTATTGCTTTATGGTAGCATTCATTTATCAGGGAAAGTGCTTTGCTTGATTTTTCTGTAAACCAACAGCTCTAAACTGATCCCTGGAAACTTCTTCATGACGTGGTTTTACTGACAGTGTGCTCTTGCAAGCTTTGTTTTCCCTCTGCTTACCTAGGCGAGACTTCATTGTGTACCGGTACCCCGGGAAGCCGCCCACACGTGCTACAGACAATGGCTTTGAAGACAAGGTCAGTAGAAGTGAGGGCAATTTCCTTCTGGTCCCGTGCCAGTCTGTTTCCTTACTTTTCCTGAAGCTGGATGAGTTGTGCAATTTTTTTCCTGAAAAGGGGAAATTAATGGGAAGAGATGACTGTAACAAACTGATTGGTTTTTGTGACCCACAGACTGATCCCAGTTCAGAATGGGAATTATTGGAACAGGTTATCTACATCAGAACTACTGCTGGGGGCAAAAGGAAGGAGCATAAAGGACAAATACTGTGTATTACCTTGGATCTGACCCCTCTGGTGCTTTCTGGAGCTGTGTAGATGTGGCTGCTTCAGGCAAGATGCCAATGAAGCTGCTGTGGTGTGGATTTCAGTGTGGGCTGCTAGATTTGCCAAGGTGGTCAGTCTGCTCTGAACCTGTGCTGCTGCAGCTGTTACTGATCTGTTGATGAGCATTGCTTGTCTTCATTACATGTGCTTCTTTCTTCATCTACACTGTTTCCTGTGTAGCTTAATTCCAAAATGAGCTGAGTTTAAAAATCAAACAGCACGGTCTAAGTGCTCAAGGCTTTCCCACCAGAACTCTCATTAAGTGTTGGCAGCTGTCAGGCATTACACTGTTGAGTTCAGGCAGCAGCTCCTTCTGGTGTTGCTCCTCCTCACCACAAGAGGAGAGCTTGTGTTGGCAGAATCAACAGAGCACCCAGAATTAAGAGTCCTGGCATCTGGGTTCCTTCTGGGAGCTGGTTTTCTGGGAAGCATCCTCACTGGCAGTGTGCTGACAGCTGCCTCAGGGCTTCTGCCCGATGCAGTTGGCTGTGGTTGTGTGCCAAGAAGTTTGGTGGCACGTGTTTACACGATGTGTCAATGCATGTGTTGCAGAAAGCATCTATTCTGCTTCTTAAAAGCAAGTTTTTAAGGGCTAGAGAAGTAAATGCTCTTCTAGTCTTGCAGGCAGAGAAGGATGAAATGTGACTTTGACATTTGGGATAGTGAGTCTCGAGGTGCTGCATTCAGTGGGTTGTATTTATTTTACCTCCTGAGCAAATGGTGGTCTTGGAAACAAACTCCTATTTCATGTTCAGTACAGCAGGATGTAGGGATGGGTTTTTTTCTTTCTATGATACAAAGTTACTTAGAGACTTTACCTAATTTTGGTTTTGAGCTGATGCTACAGCTCAAAAAATGGTCAGTTTTTTCACATTTATATTGAGAATATTTACTGTTTTCTTGGTGAGTTGGTGTCAACTGTATAATAAAAGAATATCAGAATTTACTGAATTCATCATAATTGATTGGATTACATCATTTCAGCCTTAAAACTGTTGTTTTTTTTTTAATTTTCCCAGATTTTACTGTGTTGTTCCGGTAACGGCCATTATGACTCTGTGTATACAAAACAATTTCAGGAAAATGCTGCCATTTGCCAGGGTAAACTTGAAATAATTTTTCTGTGGAAGAGAATTGTGTGTTTTCATATGTTTAGAGGCAGGGTTTGTTTCAGTTTTCAGGGGTGGGGAGAAGAGAGATGGAAGCTGACTTCTGGTATATTTTTATGCATAGATTAATTTTTTAACCTGTTAAATGGGTTTTGGACCAAATGACTTCCAAAGGTCACTTATTCCCAATTTGGTCCCTAATTCCCAGTTACTTTATGATCCTGTCCTTAACTGCATTTGATGTCACTACTGCCTTGTAACAGTAGATAATATCTGAAGATCTGCCTGCCCTAAACTGCAGGAGTTCTTACGGATCTCATATTATCGAGCTTTGTGTTGGTTTGTTCAGCTGTGTTATATGAGATCCTCTACAAAGATGTGTTTGGCATGGATGAGGAAGAATTAAGGTCTGCAGTTGAGGTGTTTCGAAGTGGATCCAAGAAGAACAGAAACAGTGCTCCTGTAGGAAGTGAGGATGCAAACTTTGGTTGTCTCCATGAAAAAGTGCCCCGAAATCCATCAGAAAAGAGGTAGTATGTTGGGAAGGGGATCTGGTAAGAGGAAAGCAAAAAAACAAAAACAAACCAACTTTAAAACCTTGCAGAGGACAACTTTTCCAAGTTTCTATGAATTTTTATGGAGTATTAACTCTTCTTTTCCTGTGTTACAACACAAACACAAAGCTCGAGTATATTGTGGAAGAGCGTGTGCTTTTCTTGGAGCTGGGAAGTGCCACATAATTGACTGTCCTCTGCTGCAGGCTGTGTTATAGCTGGGTGTTACTCTGTAAAATGACAGCTTATTTGTAAGTAAAATTGCTCCTTATTCATTAGAGCTTTCTTACTTTTTTTAATGAGAGACTTATTACTCTTCTAAGCCTCCATAGCTCTGAAAGGCTTGAGAGCTGCCTCTGAATGCTTGCAGACAACGTTGGTTTGATGATACCTGGCACAGAGTGTCATTTTGTCCTTGACAGTGCAAGAATTCAGTCAGTGGGATCCCCATCATCCTTTCCTAATGCAAGCAGTAGCCCTCATTAGGGGTGGGTATTGGAACAAGCAAAGGTCAAGTTCTTAAAGCTTGGAAAAGGCTGGTCCTGCACTGCATTGCACCTGGCTGGTGTTTAAGGCAACATGTGCCACTTGATGGCACCATGGTGCTTTTTCAGGTCTGAACAGTTAATCCTGGCTAGAAATTGTGTGTTGTAGCTTTTGTAATCTTATTTTCAATTTTTTAGACTGGACGACTGGGAGGGCAATGATACTGAGAATCCACAGGAAACCAAGTTCAAACAAGGCATTGAAGAACAAAAGGTTTGGCAGTTTGGGGGAAAATCCTTATGGTTTGCTTTTGGGGTTTTTTTTCCCTGTTACCCTTGTTAGGGCTAAATCCTCTTTACCACTTTGTAAAAATGTATTTTTGGTTAGTAGGTGGCTTATTTCTTCCATCTGCTTGTCTTTTGGTTGTGTTCTTGAGTTTCTCTTAAACTGGAAATGGCCCTTTTACTTTCTAAAATTCTCTAGTCCTTCTCTAGCTGATTTTTATTTCCCCCAAAAGATGGAGCTTAGCAGGTGTTTCCCGATTTGTTTTTCCCAGAACATGGTTTAAAGTAGTTCATTTTTTTGTCTTGAACATAGTATAAATTGCTTCAGAATTTTGTTCTGTTTTCAGAGTTCAGAGTTTTCAGATACAAAAACTGAAATTGTCACTTAGTTTTGAAGCTGTGGCTTCATTGGTCTGGTTGGCTTCCTTTGGTTCATTTTCAGTACAGAACAATGCCCAGCCTTACTCTTGAGCCTTTCTTCTTTCCAGAGTCAGTTTCCTCAGCACCTGAGTGCCTGGATTTGTTTTCATACTCTTGAGTTTTGGTTTTTAGGGAAATGCAGTGGAAGTGAAAATTTTGGAAAATAGCATCTGTACTTTTTAAAATGGTACACAGATGCTGGCAGAACGGAGACTGTGCTGAACACGTGAAATGCACTTTTTAATGCTCCATTCAAATTCTGTTTTTAGCCTCCAGAAAATCCTCCAAAGATGCCTGTTCCTTATAAAGTGCTAAAGGCACTGGACTCTACCATCTATCGAAATGTGGAGTTTGATGTTTGGCTGGACAGTAGAAAAGGTATCTTTTGAAAAGGGAAAAAGCCAAAAAACTTTTCCTGTAGTAGGGTTAGCATTAAATTTATGAATCTTGAGTCCTGTCACCTGTTTCTTCACAGCTGAAATGTGAAGGGCACAGGTGAACCCAGCAGATAGCTGTAGGTAGGACATGCTCTTGGTTTCCTGTCTGGCATTCAAAGTACAAAAAACCCAGCTTTTGATACTGTATAATGGTACAAGGTTGCTAAAAATCTGATCTCTGCTACTCACTGACTGTACACAGGAAATAGGAGGATTCAAAGCAGAGCACAGAACTCTTGTTGCCATTCTGTTGTATTGGAAAGCATTCAAATGTGAGAGTTTTTTTGTTAGAGCATGTGTGCAAAAACTTCTTTTTAGAGCACGATTTTGGCCTCAGAATTGTATAATAATGAAGATCTCAAATTTAGCATTGGGATCTGTCAGATGAGTTTTTCTCCTGCCTCCCAGCCCTCCTGGGCTTGAACATTCTGCAGAGATTTTGTGGTTCTCGTGGCTTGGGAAAGGTTGGCTGCTTTTTGGCATTCACTGTGGCTGATCTGTAAAGCAAGAAGTTACCAAGAAAGATAAGTTTTTAAGTGATACTTGATGTCTGACCCAAAGTGCTTTGCATGCTGAAGAACTCCAGCATTTCACCACGGTGTAATCAGTAATGAGGATCATTAAAATTCTTGGAACAGAGTGTGGTAACCAATTATCTGTGTAGAATACTGACGTGCAGAAAAGCCAGGCAAGGAACAGAGTAAAAAAAGCTGAAATCTAACAGCAAGAATACTTTAGGCAACGTTAGCTTTTCCTGGATGACATTTCATGTTTGCCAAGTGCCACCGGGACTCTGGCAAGATAAGAGATGTCCAACATTTTTAATTCCAGGATTTATATTAAATGCAGGATTAGCTCTGTGCCACCACAGAAGCTGCAGTGTTGTAGTGCTGCTTGCTGCATTATCTGGCTGTTGCTGGTCTCATGTGACTTAGCCTGGTTATGGTCTATTGTAAGAACACCTAGAGTTACTCCACTGTTACTGTGGGGAATATTCAGGTATGCAGAGGAAGTATTTAACTCAATTGGCCTATAAATTGTAGTTGGCTGCTGTCATGAAGTACTTGCAGGTTATGTGAAGAAAGAACAGTAGCTTAAAGGCTTTTCCCCCCCATTTATTTATTTATTCATTTCTTTTCAGAGCTTCAAAAAACTGACTACATGGTGTTTGCTGGGAGACAGTACTATTTAGGAGATAAGTGTCAGGTTAGTACTCAAAGGAGACTCAGTTATGATCAACTGTTAAAACTACTTTAAATGGACTATGATAAACCAAGAAATCATTTGATTTCCTAGACTTGTCTAACACTTTTCTCATTCTCTTCCCTGTAGATGTTCTTTTAAATGTAATTTCTTTCTAAAATCTACCTTTAAACTTGGTAGTCTGATAGAAAAGCAGTTTGGGGATTCAATGTAAACCAGTCATGCACATTCTGAGTGTGGAAGTTCCAAGCAGAGCTCAAAATGCACAGGGGGTGCTTTTGATGTAGTTGTCTTTGGATTTTTCACTTGGGCTAAGCAACAATTCTGGGTAGTTCTTTTATCTTTCTCAACAATGAAGTAGCAAAATATTTTTATAAAATAAAAAGGGAAGATCTAAAAAGGGAGGAGTAGAATGATCTGGACAGGAGATGCTGAAAGAAAAGTCAGTTTTCTTTGTATTCTGATGTCATATGTAGTGATGGCATTTTTTTTTACCAATCTTTAAGGTAGTGCTAATGATTGACTCGGTGATTTGTTTCTTACTGAGCAGAGCTTTCCTTTTCCTACTTTATCTTCTGTTCTCCTTGAGCTCTTAAACAGCAGTCTTCCTTGGCACTTATCTGCTGGGCACAGGGGATAAAAATAAGTTAGGGAGCTGGTATCTTGCCTCTCAGTTGCTCACAAGACTGATTTTATTTCTTTTTATCCTCCCTGAAGTTAGTACAGCACTCTTTATTTTGGTTGCTGTTTTGAAGAAGTATTTAAGACTCCTGGGCCAGCTCACTAACATGGGACTGGCTGGGAGCAGCCTGTGCTATTAGTGGTTTGTGGACAATATTCTGATGCAGTTTAAGTTTTTTAGAGCTTCCCTTGTTCTTTCTCCAGGTGCGTCTGGAACCAGGAGAGAAGTATTACAATGCTCACATCCAGGAAGTTGGACAGGATAGCAACACATTGACTGTATTTGTTGAGGAGCTGGCAGAAAAGTAAGGAGTCTGGTGATGACTTCAAGTTTAAACTCTTTCTGCTTGAGGGCTTTGGGTTTTTTTTCCTTGGAATTCTAATGACTAAAATCATTATTGTAATGCTTTCTGTGAAATCTTGCTGCTCTTCCTTCACTGGAATGTAAAAGTGTTCATTACAGTTTGGGCTTAATTCATAGAGAGAAAATTGCCCTCTGCTGTTGGGTTTCTCTGGAGTTTTTATTCTGTACCCAAGCAACGAAATAATTGGCACTTCTGGTGAATCTAATCACTTTCTCCCCCTTGCTGTTCAATCGTTCACCCTTTTTCAAAGCTGGGATTGACAACATCCTGCAAAAATTCTGTGTTGTCCCCTGCTTTTAAGTGTACCTCTGGAGGCACCCAAATGCAGGTGGGGGAGACAGACTTGACCCAAGAAATAATGGTGTTTAAACTAAAGCCTAGCTTGTCTTTTCTTATTAAACAAGTAGCAGTAATGTGTGCTTGGTGCCAGAGAAACAGATTATTTATTTTCACAAGCTATTTCCTCTGTCTTGGTATTGCTTCAGCTTATGTTAATGTGCAGAGTCTATCCCTGGGGCACTGCTAACACGGGTGTCCTTCCTGCAGGCACACAGTTCCTTTGGCAAACTTAAAGCCAGTGTCACAGGTGGCTCCTGTCCTTGCTTGGAATATGGCTCACAACAGAAGAGGAGCTTATCAGAAAGTAACAGGTGGACACTTCTCAGGAATAGGTTTGTACAAGGCTTTCAGAAGCATTTCTTCCCTGGGGAAGTAGGGGAGTTGCTCATGAGAGTTGTAACTGTAGCATTTGGATATTGGAATGGGTTCAATTCACCCTGTGATGTAAAATTTGGCCACTGGGGGGGTTTGATGGAAAGCTGTCTTTCAGACGAGGATGAATTTGCCTTTGCAAATGAGCACATTTATTGAAATGCAGAGCAAATTTGGTATTGCTCAGAATTGCCCAGAACAAATTTGCCACTTGAGAGCCATCTAAAAGACATGTCAGTGAACCAGAGAGCTTGTCTGACCTGGCATTAGCAGAGATGCATGGATGGACCAGGGACCCGCTTAAATATGGGTTCAATTTAATTTGGAGGAGGAGTTGTGAGGTTTTTTACTTTTATGAATAAATGCAGCCTGCATAGAGAGGTTTTAACACTGAGTAGTGGTTGGATCAGCTGAGGCTGGGAAGGTACTCCCATGTCAGATGCTTGTATCATGTAGAATTCCTGTTTGATCCTTTTAAAGAGGGGTCTGTAGTGTCCATATTTACAATACACTTTTTATGGAACAGGCCACTGGCTTTCTTCACTATGGGTTCAAATATTAATTCTTCACTTTATCATTTGAGGCTATAGCTCAGGTTTAAGGTGTAAATCTCTTTTCTGTCCTCAATGGAAACTGCAGAAATGGATATGAAAACACGGAAGAGGATGCTCAAGAAGGTCCGTGGGAAGGAAGTGTTCATGGCTGTGGCTTACAGCAGGGGACAGCCAGTGCTGCCACCCCGGCTGCAGCACAGTGCTCCCTCAGGGCGCTTCCCTCCCATCCACTGCTCCCAGGGAGGTGCAGGCATGGCACACTACAAGCCCTATCACCAGCAGAATCCTCCCAGACAGCACCGTGACTCTGGGATGCCGAGGTAGGAAGCTTTGGAAACATGAGTTGGCCGCTTGTTTCTGTTCACTCTTGCTGCAGAGAGAGTTTGCTAACTCTTGCTGTTGGGAGAGAGTTTGTGCTGTTCAGGTAAAACTACAGCTGGAAGGCACTTCTGGTAGTTGCACCTTTTCCCCTTTAAACTCGGGGGTTCTGCCTGTTTTATAGACATGCTTGGCTCTCAGATAGCATTCTACCCCAGCCCAGGGAAGAGAGGCTGTCAGAGTTGTCCTGCTGAGTGACAACAAACCTCTTCCACCAAAAATTGCTCTAGCAGGCATTGCGTAGGACGCTGGGGCATGAATTGCCTGTTTGCAGCAGAGTGTGAAAAAGCAGGTTTCTTGGTGGCTCTGCAGAAAGAGCTGAGTTAAAACTGAGCAGCCAAAGGCAGGTGGAAGTGCAGGTGGCGGTGACTGCTCACTCCTCTCCTGTTCCCCAGCTCGTACAGCCGCAGCCGCCGCCCGCTGCCGTGTGTGAACAAGGAGTGCCAGTACGGCTTCGTGCCAGGGGCTGCCGAGGAGCCCCAGGGGCCGGAGGAAACTGTAACTTTCTGTGAAATTGAAGGAGATGACACTGCTTTCCCTGCTCTGCCTGTGAGTTATGAACAAAGGGTAAGCTGAAACCTCTCTGAGAGAGGAGGAGGGGGAAACTAAATGCACAGTGATTCTTAACCAAAAAAACCCTGCTGTATATTTAAGTATTCTTGGAGTAAGGTTTGGCAGTGAGTGCATTTTTGACAATGGAAGACTGAAATTAGTCTAGTTCCTGTAAAACCTGCTTGAAACCTCAGTTTTTCTAGATATTCCCTTCTCTGTATCGTCAGTAGCAACACTTGTTTTCTTTTAAGCATATTTTCATAAACATAATCATGTATCTCCTCTCTATTGCAGTTTGAAAACAAAATCTTTTCCTCCTGTGCATGTCTGTCTAGCTCTAAACATTGTGGGAGAAAGCTTTTCACTTGTTTGCCACACTATAATTTTATCGTTTGGGGAGCAAGATTCAGAAACTGGATAGTGATAGCCTGGGTTTTTTTCCCTCTGAATTTGTAGTTGTGATGTTTTGGATTAACATGTTGGTCCTGATGCAGTTTCTTCTGCTACCAAAACAGGAAAAAATTGCAAACCTAGACTTTTCTTAAAGCAGTCTTTTTGTTGAATTGTAGATAAAGTGGCAAAGTGTATTCTTAAACTTTAAAATGCTTTTTTTTTTTTCTTTATTTGTAGTCTAAACCTAGTCCAAAGCTGGGAGTGCTAAAAAAAATCAATTTATACATAGGTATCTGAATAGTAAAACCGATTAAAAAAAAAAAAAGTGAACCTGGTATGTTGGAATTTTTTTGCTGTGTTGAAGCAGTGAACTATTGTTAGACTCATATTTAAATGAGGAAGAGAGAATATGCTTAGGGCTGTTTCAGCACCAGTCATTTTTTTCTTTGCTCTGATGTACTAGATCTGTAATCTTTGCTCTGATTTTTCCTCCAGAGTGCCAAGGAATAAGGACAGATTATCCTGTAATTTCTTTTTTCCAACATGAAATCAATACAGCTCAGTGGCTTTTTCTCCCCCTTTGCTAGACTTGCCTGCAGCTCCTAATGAATAGGTTTTCATGTTCATTCAGTGACTTTGTTATTGTCAATGCCAAAGCTTTTTCTCTGTCTCTTCCTTGTCTTGTTTAGTAAAGGAATGTGACATTTCCTGGGGAAAGATGCATCTCACAGAGGACTCTGCCATGCTGCCAGAGGCCTGGTGGGAGAATCTTCTGACTTACCACCTCTGCTTCAACCTTGGAAATCTTCCAAGCCTCTCTGAGCACTTTATCGATCTCGTAGTCACCAGTGGCTTCTGAGGAGAGCTTTGAGTGTCACCTTAGCCACCACAAGAGTGAATCAACTTATTTTACTTAAGCATCTCAACCCTACATTCCTCCTTCAGAGAACTGATCTTTTAAACTGGGGTGCAGCTAAAGATTGATTTTAGTGCAGCAGTAAAGGGCATGTAAAAAACTGGAGTGCTGTGGGCAACCTTGGGGTGTGCTGCTCTGAAATAGTCAGGGTTGCACATGTGGATCAACCTAGTGCAGACAGTGCTGTCTATGCCAGCAGCCACCTTCTGGTTCCACTAGTTGTGACTGAAGATGACCTTTCTCCATGGTTCTCCATCCAAAACCAGTGTTTGGATGAACTGATCTGCTGCTGGTGTGGGGGGAATGCTCTAGAATGAGGAATGCACTAATGCAGCCTTGTCTGCGATCTGCTCCCTCCTTTGCAGCTTTGTTAGAGTTTGGACAAAGCTGGCTGAGTTATGGGAGGGAGCAGCTTGACTGCCTGGCATAGGACAATAAAAAAGCTTCTGAATTGCCTTAAGTATGCAAGGCAGAACAGAAGGAAAAGGAAAGAACTGTTTGTTGCATTGGAATGGACACACAGGTGATGCTTCTTGTAAGCTTTGGTTGCAGCAAGCTGGGTCTGTCAGCCTGGTTCTGTGTGTCTGTCTGTAGAGCATGGAAAGGTGCTAAATTATTTCTAAATGTGTGCTTATGACTTTGCTTTTCAGAGCCACAGTAGCCATGCTCACATTGTCCATGGTCCAGGGGCATTTTGGGTAGCAAGGAGAGGTCCAAACTCTGTTCCATCTAATAAGCAGACCCTGAGTGCCTTAGAGGAGGAGGAAGAAGCAAGTGAAAACGGTGAGTTCTTAAAGGATTAATAGGCAAAAAAATGTTTAAGAGATTTTCAATATGCTTTTCATTGTCAAAAGTAGGTTCCTTGCATCTCCTAAAGGACACAAAGTGAGATGATACTGAAAGCAGGTTATTAATAGATGCACTGAAGTATAATTGCAGTAACTCTAGGTTTGAGCTTTTTTGCCTTCCCCTTCTTTTCCCCCTGAATCAAAACTTTCTGTTCTTTCCCTTGTAGGGAAATTTCATGAGGAATATATCTATGTATCTCCAGGTAAGTAAAAGTTTAGTCTTTACTGACAGAACATTTGGTCAATGTAATACACTCAATTGTGAGTTTTTATATGTTTCTGAAGGATTAGATTTAGTGCAGCTCTTTTCAATTAATGTTGCCTATGTCCTCCAGATCCCAACTGTGAAACTGCAACAGTGTTTAGTTCAGCAGAGCCTACAGCAAATTTGGTAAGTTTTACTCACAGACTGTTCAGATTAGAGATCTTTGCGATCTCATGGAAATTCATGGAAACTGTCCTTGGATGCATAGTAGGCTAGAGACTTAATAAAAGAAATGAAATCAGCATTCCTTTATATATTCACCATCCTTTTCCTTCCTGAATGGTGAGGTTTTTATCTGAGTCTGCAAGTACAGTCTGAAATGCACTGGATACAGTAATAATTTTCCACCTTTCCCTCTGCAAAGAGAATCTGTATTTGAGTGCTGTTTACTTTTCTTTCTCTGCTCCAGACAGCACTTGCTTTTATCAAGCCACCCTTCAGGTTATATTCCAGTTAATCTTAGCCCTCCTCTGTGGGACTGGAGAGATCTCATCTGTGGTAGAACTTACCTCGGAATTTTTTTTTTTTTTTAACTAAATCTTTAATCACCTGCTGCTCCACAGTGGATGTGAAAGCAGTCCTGAGCATGCCAGAATAAAACTGTGTTTAATTGAGCTACAAAAGACACTCTGGGTGTATAGTCCATAAAAACAAAAAAATAGGGGTGTGGTGTGTGTGCCTTGTGGCTTCTTTGCCACTGAAATGGACCATGCTTTGCTTTGGAATCCCTTCAGGAAGAAGGGCCAGTCTCGGTGTCACCTCAAGATGAAGTGGCTTCCTACAGCTATCCCCAGAAGGTAGTGTCTGGTACTCTGAACTGTATCTCACACTTCATTGTGGTGGTAACCACTCTGCTTGGACTGTGACAGTTTCTGGGGACCCCTCACAGCCTCTGGCAGCAGAGAATGCAATTCCCTGCAAATACAAGCAAAACAGAAGATGCCTTGCAGGTGTCTGCAACTCTAAACTGGTATTTTCAAGCCAATTTTTAGAGAGTTTGGATGGTTAGTGCCTTTACAGCTAGGATTTACAAGAAGTGAGAATTTTTGAAGTGTGTGGTGTCTTCATAGTCTTTGTCAAAGCCAGTTGCAGAGGCAGACTGTTGAATACTCTTGACTCTTTTCCAGGTGTTGGTGAACTCTGCAACAGTTTCCACCTCCACAGATGTTTATACTGCTCCAGCCACAGGTCTCTCTTCAAATTCTGCTGCCTCCACTCCAGCCAGTGTCATAACAGCAGCTCCCCCACAAACAGCAGTGCAGCCTGTCATAGTATCTCCCTTTTCTGTGGGGAGGCCAGGTAGAGTGTACAGACTGCAGCTGTGGACTTGGATTCCAAGTTTTCAGTTACATTTTCCCCTCCCTTCCTTCCCCCTATCCAAAACAAGTGTTAAAAGGCTTTAAAAAAAAGTGTCACTTGCTTTGGTTTAAAATTGCATAGTTGTAACTTGGCTGCTGGCTTCTTGTTTTGAAGGGGCTGTTGCCCCTGAATTTTTGTGGGAATTGGAGGTCTGTGCTTTGGGTTCCCCCCCTTGACACCTTTAACCATTAATGCCAAGTGTTTACTAGAAAATTCTTTCCAGAAGGCAGAAGCTCAGTGCAACTCCCTTCACATCCCCTTTCCTACAGCTAAATTTTCCTCTTGAGTTGAGGTAGCAAGTATCTAGAATTCTGTCAGTTCAGGAGAGTCACTGGCTGGGGTGTTTCAGTTTATTTTTATGACCCTTAGTTTCCTCTGTGCAAGGAGATCAGGTCTGTGGGTAGTCACAGGGTGCACTCTCCACCTTAGGTCCTCTACCTGTTTTGCTCTTGGAAAATGGCAGTTATGTAAAAATTCTGTTTTCCTTTTTACAAAGAGAACTTCTTCTGTCTTCTGTAACTTTTCTTTTAGCATCTAAAAAATCTTCACCTTCCATTCTGCTCGGTTCTGTCTCACTTATCTTTTTTTTTTTTTTGTTCCTACTCTGCATGAGAGTTTAGTCAGCACAGTTCTCAAAGCTGTCTGCTCACTGGTGCCAACCTGCTGCTGTGTTAGAGGTGTGGGCCACCTAAATGAATATTTAACAGTTGTCTGTCCAGAAGATTTTTGTCCTGATAAGTCTCAAACCTTCCCTTGTTTTTGTGGACTTACTGTCACTCTTCTGAGGATTTTAAGTGATTAGTCTGTTCTCTGTTGTTTTCTTACATAACTGTCTGTCCTAGAAGTCTGGCCTGCCTTATAATATGAAGAAATAATTGAAAAATACTTTTTTTCCTTTAACTGGGATAGACAGCTTTCAGATAAAAGTGCAATTAAGGCTTGAGAGATTGAAGCCTTCCCATCTAGTTTTAAAATTTCTTCTGTACACCTTTCAAAGTGATTGCTGAACAGAACTTTGTTAGAGCCTGCATTTAGGGGCACCAAGGTGTCAAATTGCGTGCTGAATTGTGTAAGTTCACACCTTACTCGTTTGACATACCATGGCAAAGTTGACTTTTTGGGTGACATTTGTTTCCTTCTAATTGTAGCAGTTTCTTCAGTGCCATTCCCAATTTATTCAGCTCCTCTTCCCCCAGTGAGTGAGGTGGGAGAAGCCAGTGCTGTTCTTCCAGCTTACTCTTGTGATCCCAGCGGCAGTGATTTGCCTCGAGGTAATGATGGTATTTTGTATTTTTACTCCTGCTGCTCTCCAGCACACTTCTGACTTGTGTTCTCCTTGGAAGCTTAGCAGAACACCAAGTGAGAATACGTAGTGAGAAGAAATTGCTCTCTGTAAGTTGCAGGGAATGAGAAATAATATTATAGATACTTACGCTAAAACATTTTCATTCCCATTTTGGAACAGAAAGTTTGTATCTGACTCAAATAATGTGATTATTGCAGCTCTAGACAGCACTGTAAATAAATGAAAGCCCAGGGAGAGGGTGCTTGGCCTGTATCATACTTGTTTGTGGCCAAGTAATCACTTTTCTGGTAACTGATTAAAATAAGAACTGTGTCTTTATAAGTTGTGCTCTTGCACAGTTCAGTGGGGTATTTTGGTAGTTTTCTTTTATGGCTCCAGGCTGTAATTCTGTGGTATTACAGGCCAGGGCTGAAGTGTAGGCACAGCTAATTCTTGGGTGTGTAGCTTTGTCACACGCTGCCATCAGCTGGGACAGTGTCTCAGGTCCACGTTGAGCAGTGAGGGCAGAGACCAAGCCTGCTGCTTTCACACTGCTGCTGCCATGCTCTGCAGTTGCTCTGCTGCCTCTCCTGTGCCCTCAAATCCAAGGTTTGTTCATCTTGGCTGTTCTGGTTCCCTTCCCTGCTGTGGTAGCATCACTCTGACCCCAAACACAGAGTTCCTGCTTTCCAGCTTTAGTTGAATGCCTTTAACTGAGGCTTTCCCCACTTGGGAGAATGGGGTGTGAAGTGTGCTGACAAGAATCTGGAGTGGATGTGGATTAATAACCTCTCCAGACCCTGCCTGCAGCTCTTCAGCTGAGTCAGTCCACATCATATTGGTCCTGTCCTTGGCACGGGCTTTAGGAATTTTAAAGGTTGCTAGTTAACAGTGCTGCATGTAGCCTTTGTTACACTGCTGGAGTGTAATCTATGTGGCTTTTCAGTTAAGAAACCCAGCAGGTTTGCAGTAGGGCAGGGTGAAATATGTGGGTGTGCTTGATCTGAAGTTCTGTGTGCTTTGCTAAAGACCCTAGGCCTGGTATAGATGGGGAGCAGGACTTGTCACCAGACTGAAATCCTGGACCTGGGATGAAATCCTGCAGTGGGCTGTAGCATTACTTGCATCTGCATTTATTCCAGTTTTCATAGCATCTTCTATCTTGTTTTAATGGCATTTAGGATTTGTCAAGTGTGTTTATTAACACAGTGACCTCAGGTGTCCTGCCCTTGCATGGTGCCTTGTTGAAGGAGCTGTTGATAAAAGCCTGCTTGAAATTCTTAAAATTGCTGTGTTCCAGAAACAGTGTTCAGTACTGGCCAGAGCTTCCCCACAGCACAGTGAAAACTCTATCACGAGATGAAATTTTTATCAGGCATCAATGTGGTCTTTATATTTTCATGTCAGAATGGGTAACCTTTTTTTGGGTTAGCTGTTGCTTCATAAGAGCATGTTTTACTGAAGATGGACTTGATTTGCAGACATCTAAAAGAGGAATCTAAACAAAAACTGGTCTCCTACTGTACTGGTTTCTTTTCCATCATTCCACAGATGTCAGTATTTCCAGTGTCAGTTTGTCACTTCAGTCTCCCAGCAGTTCCTTTGTACTGTTGCTGCTGCTATGGAAGCAGCTGTTTCATTCAGCTCTTATGCTTGCTTTGCATAGATTTGCATAAACAATTGAAGAACAAAATTGGGTTTTTAAAAAAACATCCAGCTTCTTCCAGATGTAGATGGAATTTCAGCTAGATACTAAAAGGTTTGCACTTGTGTAAGCCTTTGAGTTATTTTTACTTTTTTATTGACCATGGTCAGTGTTACAGCCAGACCACCAGTACTTCCAGGACTAAGGAAGGATCTGTGTGCATTTGCTAAAACAGCTGCATGGATTGTTGCCCTGATGGATGGGCTGAGCAGTAAAAGAATTGAGACTTGGCAGCAGTGACAGAGGAATAAATCCATGTGCATTTTAAAGTTTTGGTTTGCTTTGCTGATGCTTTTGCCTTCCTGCAGCAAAGCACAACTCCAAGTGCCACAGAAACAGGGCTGGGGAAGTGTGGGAGATGGGTGGGCAGGGAAGCACTGTGGAGCCTGGTCTAGGGCAGTGTGGGTGCCTGTGAAGATGGAATATGGTAGCTCTGGAGGTGTTGCTGGGTTGAATCCCTTAGTGGCTCCTTTTGAGTTGTCTCCCTGTTTTCCCTTGGCTTTAGTACAGCTGGGAGCTCAAAGGCTGTGCTGTGGAATAGGTCACTCGCTCTTCCTTCAAAGCCTTCAAAGCAAATCTGTATTAAATCTAAGAAATCAATTTTTCTCATGCACAGTTCCAGAACTGCATCATGGGATTAAACACACACCATCTTTTTTTTTTTTTTTTTCCCCTTTCAGTGGGTCAGCTTTAAAGGTTTAAAGCTGCTTCACAGCTTTTGGACACTTGGAAATGTGTTTCCAAGTTCAAAACCCTGTTGCTTTTGGAGAGAGGTTTCAAAGTCCCTTCACACACCTGGGACTGTTTCTCAGCATATCACTTACTTGGCTGGGGACAAATTATTCAGTACAGGGAAGAGAGAAGTAAAAGACTCTGCAAGAAAGCAGGGAACTGAGTACCCTTGTGAGGAAGGAATATATTCCTTATTCCTCCCTTCACTGAGCTTAATATAACAGTTGGGGGGACCTAAAATTTGGTGAGAAGCTCTGTGTTAAGTCCCAGCTGCTTAGACAACTTTTTTGATTTTTTGGTAAAAAAACCTGAGTTATCCACTTGAGTAATCAAGATGAATAAACAAAAACTAAAGCTGATGTAGTTATGGAATTAAATAATTAATTGTCCAGACAAATGCTCTGCCATTGCACAAACATCTAACTGGATTTAGTTTAAAAGATAAAACTAGTTGAACAACTACTTAAAGATACATTCTTTACCCTTGAAATTTTAAAGAAAAGGTAGTGCTGAAATACTGTTTTTCATTAAGTAAGAATAACTTCAAATAAAGTGCTCTTAATATAAGTTGCTTTTGCTTCTTGGTTTATATTCCTCTGCTCTTTAATGTCCTGTCCTTTAATTTCAGATACAAAGGTCTTGCGGTATTATTTTAATATGGGATTACAAGTAAGTGCTTTTAAAATGAGTATAGCAATTGTCTGTAAAAAGTGCTGGGTTTCCTGACAAATGTACTGATGTTTTGGAAACTTTCAAGTGTCCTAAATGTGCATTTTGTGTACTGGACTACTAATATGGATGGACTTTCTTTGTGGAGATTAAAGCCTGGCTCAGGAAGTGAAGTTCTGCCTCAAAATGTGAAGTACACCATATTAATTGTTTTACTGTGGGCTGTGGTGGGTTTTCAGTTTTACTTTTAGTTTTTTGGGGTTTTTTTTTTTGGTTTTTTTTTTGGTTTTTTTTTTGTATTTTGATGGTGGATAAATATTCTTTCAATTAAGAGAGTGCAAGAACCTGAGCCATTCTTAAGAGAATTTGTGTACTTAGATAAGACATCAAAGCCACTTAGAGATGTGTGGATGGAGTCTCCTAGGATGCAGCTGAGCTCAGACTGGTTAGCATCCTTCATTTCTCTGTGTCCTGGAAATCTGCTCTGCTGAAGCATTCTCTGTAGCAGTAGTTAAGTGCAGTGTCAGTGCTGCTGCTCAGGGAAGTAAAAAGAGCAACAGGAGCTCCTTCAAGTGAAGAAATGGGAAATATCTCTGAATATGACAAAGTTAAGTGGGAATCTTTGTTCTCTGTAAAGACTTCAGACATAACAGCAGTGTGGCTGTTGCTGCAGGTGTCTTTCCTAGTAGGCTGTGTTGGTTTGATGGGTTTTTCTGTTTGTTTATATGTCTTAAAGGGCTAGGGAGGAAAAAAAAATCATTTTTTCCTAACTTTAGCTCTGAAAGTAGCAGTGGTTTGGAGAGGGGCTGGAGAGTGTGTGGCTGTGACCATGTTTTTCCTTTTCCTGCAAGTATTGCCATCAGAGCTGCTGGCCTTCCATGATGTACGTGCAGCCAGTGCTGCCTCCATCTCCAGTGGAAGTTTACCCAGCATATGCTGAGCCAGCTCCTGTCCTGGATCAGTCAGTTCCCCAGCTCTTCCCTGATGCTGGGCAAGCTGAGGTCCACCAGGTTCCCTTGGAGGCATCAGCAAATGGTTTGTACTTGAGTAATGCTGCCTTCATACTCATGAAAGCCTGCATAAGAAGGCCATCAGTGTGGCTGAAGTGTGTGAATGTGCTTTTTGTTCTGTTTTTTTTTAAGGTAACTTCCAAAACACAGAGCCTCCACCCGTGTCCTATGGGCCAGTGTATTACCCAGTGGTGTCAGACCCCTTCAGCCAGCAGCCTCTGCCTGCCTTTGACTCTGTGGTTCCTGCCTACCGCTACATTGGCACCTGGCATCCAGTAAATCCTCCCCATGGAAATTCCCCACCTGTGGCCAAGGCTGGGAGCTCAGGAGCACCTCCCCAGGTCGGCTACATGGCCTCCCCTAACCCTGCACCTCCTGATGCACCTCAGGGAATGTAAACCTGGCAGCTGGAGGCTCCTCCTTGGCTGCTCGTTTCTTGTTTGCCAGCTCTCGTTAATACTGTTTTGTGAACGTTATCCTCTCTTAGAGAGTTGAGTCAGTTGCTCAAACTGTGTTCAAATTTCATGTTTCTCTTTAGGTTTATGACAAGATGTTGCTTTAGTTGATTAGGAAAGCATAGGAGAAAAGTACTGTAGTGCAGGGGACAGCTTGGATACGAGTAGAGAAAGTATGTGAAAAAGCATGCTGTGACTAAAGACATGTTGTGAGGGCTTGCACTGAACACTTAAACACCTGGTTCTGCTGAAGCACTGAACCACTGCCATCACAGCTCGGGTAAACACTGGGCACAGGGTCATTAGAGGGGCACAATAATGTTTAAAATAAGTTGACTTTCTCAGATTTCTTAAGACAAAGCTGCTTTGCCTCTAGTGGTCACATATTTGTCATAGCTGTATTTCTTCTGTCTGACTTCATGGTGCATAGGTTTCATGGCTGTGGAAAGTGTAAGAATAATTTTGATCTGTTGTATATTGTTGTATATTTGTAAGATTTGTTTTGTGGAAGCTGTTGCACATACGGTGGTGGCCGTGGTGGTTAAGTTGCACTGACAGCACAAAATAAAAGCATTGAACACCTGAAAAATGAGTGGTCATTTATCACTGGCAGGTAATGTTCCTGACAATTAGCTGTCCCACAGCCTGGACTGAAGAAATGCACTTGTGTGGGACAAGGCTGCTCTAAGCTGCTGTGAGAAGCAGCAAAAGCTTTCAGCATAGAAGTGGAAGCAGAATAATTCCTGGTACTTGCACCTTTCCCCTCTAAACTCAGGCACAACATGCTTGGCCCTCAGATAGCCTTCTACACAAAATTCAAATGAGCTCTATTGCCCCATTCTACTTTTTGGTGATTTTTTAAACATAATTTTTCCTTTCTGGATAACCAGGGAGTGGTGAAAAGGGTATTAAGTGCAGAACTGGGAGAGGGAAAAAATTGTATTTCCTTTTGTTTCCCTTTTTAGTAACCCTGGAAGCAAAATCATAGTAGGAAAAAGTGACTTGTGTCATTTTTGTCTTAAATTCATGCAGCACTGTTGGTGTTGATAATGTAATGCTGTAGAGGCAGGGCTGCAAGCTCAGCTTTTAGTTTGTCTACTGCATTTTCTAATTGCTGTACATTTAATTTGGCAATTTAATAATGGCTTTTCGAGATGGAGCAGCCAGGTAAAAAGTCAAAGCGAGATGAAAATGACCCCTGAATAGCTAATTTCATTTTGAGCTGCTGTGCTGTTTTTAAAACAAAACATTTATACAAAATTGTTTATGAAATAATGGGTGGCCTTTGTGTTTCTGCCTCTGGAGGAGCACTTGACTTGCACAGATGTTTTTTGCAGAAAATACCATGAGGGGTTTTTTTCTTTTTCTCTGAAATAGCATTCACTGGCCTACCCTCTTAAAGGAACTAGTAAATCCTGTGATTTATTTTAAGGAATTTAAAGTGGCACTTACCTAAGCACAGTCTCCATGCTGGAGTCATGGAGTGTGTTTCCATCTGTCATATCCCAAGCAGTTTCTGTCAAGCACTGAAGGGAATGGAATATTTCCCCTTCCAGGCTTCAGCTGTGAATTCTGCCTCCTTTCTTCCTCTCTCACTGAGACAGCCTTGCTGTTTTCTACACACATGGTTATCACAGCACAGTGTTGGTGTTTTGTCTTCTGGTATTAGTCTGTCCCTGGAAGTCAACTTTTTTTTTTTTTTAATTGGAAAGGCTGATAATTCTGCTAGAATTTTCTCCTGCATTTTTTGTTTTGCTTACCCATCTAGGGGCTGGATTATTCACCATTACCCATGGCTATTTTGGCCTTATTGGCCATTTTGATGTACATGAAAATGACTTTAATTGCTATAACAGCATGTCATATGTGGCCAGTTAACTTATTTATGGATTTGATATACAGAGGTACCTCTGTGGCTCATTTTATGTGTTTTTCCCAAGGCTTTTAAGCCTCAAAATCAGCTTTTTGAACAAGTAAGCAGGGCTGTGGGGAGCAGGTAGGTGTGTGTCCTGGAGCTGATGAATGCTGTCCATGGATAGGAAATGCCACCTCTTTATTAACAGCAAAGGAACTAGAATGGCACAGAAATTTAAGTGATTGCTGGAGTCTTTTATTTCAATTCCGTTTCCCAGAATTGTGTTGCAGTACAACAGCTCTGCAGCACTTTTCTGAAACAGCTGCCAAAAAAGCCACACACAGCTCTGCCTAAACCACAGCTGACCTGCTTTGTGCTCCAGCCCTGCCCTCAGCTGGGGTTTGCCAGCTCTGGCTGCAGCATCCCTGGACTAACAGACAACATCCCTGGCTCGGGGCTAATCAGCCTTTTCAGGGGCTGTGGGATAATTCACATCCAAATTACACCAAGGGCTGGGGCTTGCTTTGAGGGGTTTGGGATTTTTTTTGTTGGGGTTTATGCACGTTCCAGGATGTGGGCTCAGGGTCTTTTCTTTGGTGGGGAACCCAGTGTTAGCCTGGTGCATTTCCAGACCTCTTTGGCACATGTTTGAGTGTGATTATTTTAGTTTGATTGCTGTTACAGCTTGGTACCAGACCAATGCTCTGGGGTTTTTATGCCTGGCAGAATTGCTGTGAATGGGGATATTGGGATATGGTTTGAAGCCATAATCATATTTTATCTTTAGTTAGAAGAATGAAAAAATCCATGAGTATTGATTTCTACCTGGAATTATTTTTTTCTGTAGATCAATGTTTTTAAATTTTTTGGTTGTTATTGGACTTCTTGAATCATGTTGCCTAATAGTAATTTTTTAAAGCAAAGATTTGATCCTGGAATATAGGAATTTTTGTGGGTTTTTTTTTTTAACTGTTGTTTCTGTTTTGTTTATTTTTTTGTGGATTTTCAAGGCTTTTCAGCCTTGAAAAGGGAGAACAGAAGAATTCAGCCAAATTTTCACTAGGCATGCTTGCCACCTCTTTTCCTTCACTGGGTTTTTACAGATAAAAGGCAGAGGCTCAAATTAAATTAACACCTGAAGGCTGTGCAGGCTTTGTGAAGTGGCAGCACCATGGATGCTGTCCCTCCATGTGAGCCCCAGAGCAAAGCTTCTCCCTGCTGACCGAGGACAGGGCTCCAGCTGTGCCAGGGCAGGCTCAGGCTGCACACCAGGGAGAATTTCTCATGGGAAATGTTCATTGGTGAACATTGGAAGGCACTGCCCAGGGAGGTGTCCAGGGAACACCTGGATGTGGCACTCAGTGCTCTGGGCTGGGTGACAGAGTGGGGATCACCCACAGGCTGGGCTCAGTCTTGGAGATCTTTTCCACCCTGAACGGTTCTGTGATTCTGCTGAGCCTGCAGGATGGACAAAGCAGTGACCAGCCCTGCTCTGGTGCTTTGGGGGGTGGCTTCTCTTGTGATTCAGTGTTTGAGTCTGGGAGGAGCAGACTCCAGAGTGGCTGTCATCTCTGTTATCTCATCTGTTATCTCAGCACCCCTCACTGCACAGTCAACACCCCTGGTGCTTGCAGAGGTGTCACCTGTGTCACCCCCAGGGCCATTCCCTAGGTCAGCACCAGTCCTGCACTGCCAGCCACTGCTGGTGGCATCTCTCTGATGGGGCTGCAATTCCATCTGTGATTGAAGAAATTATAAATCCTGTGCAGAGAGCCCGTGCTGCTTCTGCCTCCAGCAGCCCTGGCCACTGGGCTGTCCCCTGCTAATGCTCTTCTTTTCCCCTGGCTCACATAACCAAACCAATCCCTACAGAAAGTTTGTTTCTCTAGCTCAGTTGTTGTTGTTTTTTTTATTTCACTCTTAGGTTCCATTTCTCTCAGCAGTGCTGCTGGGATAGCTTTTCTTTCATAAAGTGACACCATCAAAAGCTGCATTATGTATGGAAGATACTCAACATATAAATCCAGACCCAGAATTCCAAGTAACTGCTTTTTTCATAAGGGAGGAAGACAAAACCATTGAACCAGGACTTTATAGCTTTGAAATAAGATCAGAAATTAAATTTTGCAGGGCAAGTCTGTATCTAGAAGCTCCTGGCCACTGCAGCTTACCAGATTTCACAGTCAGCTGGGCTGCAGCACATAGGAAACAGCCACAGGCTCAGAGCACGTTCCAGGCACTGCCTGCAGCCCAGCCCTCCTCCAGTGGGGTGATCTGCAGCCCCTGGTGCCTGAGCCCTACAGGGTGTTTTTATCTCTTAGGCTCTGTTTATGGCAACACTTTTATTCCAGATGCTAAATCTTGCCTTCCCTGGAGCAGCTGAGCATTTTGCCACAAGCTCTGGGGTGCCTGTGACCCAAGGTAAGGGTCAGCCTGTGCTCACAGCTCTGATGAGGCCTTAACTTTGTTGGGTTAGGGAAAATGGACTTTTAAGAGAAAGTGCAATATTCCCTAATGATAAAATTGATGGACCATCCAACTCCCTCTATAATTTCCTTTATGTATTTTTTCTATTCCCTATCCTCCCTGTTTTCATTTTCCAATCAACTGCAGACAGGTGGTTTCTAACTCTGTTTAAACCAGTACTTTTAACATAGTTGAAAGCAAAAGATATTTATTTTGATGCATTTTGATTATGTGAATGTGTGATTTGTATAACTTTTCAGGAAGTGCAAGTAAGAGGAGTGTGCTGAGCCACTCCCTGGCTTTGCAGGGACAAGGAGGGGGTGGAAATCCCTGCCAGGTGAAGTTCAGTCCCTGTTTCTGGAACAAGGACCACAACAGGAGATTCACAGTGCCTTAACTTTCAACTTTTACCTTTCTTATGTGAGTGGAAAAGTGCATATCCAACTGCAAAAACTCCTTGTCTATTACAAAAAAAAAAAAAAGGTGTAGCCTTTTGGTTTTATGCAAATATTTAAATTTCTGCGACCCTGTGGTCCTGGATTTTGTACAGTTTTTGCCATGGTCAGTGTAAATTTGTGTGTCCCCATTGCCTCCCTTGTGCAGGAATCTTCTGCATTCCAAG